TCTCGGCGCGTGTCAGACGCCGCCGTGGCACGCGATGATCGTAGCGGTGGTGGTGGCGATGGTGAAGAACACGACGGCACGGCCCCTGGCCTGTGCTGGCGATTGCGATGGCGACGGTGGTGTCGATGTGCTGGTGGTAATGAGAGCGGTAATGTCGGCGATCTGGCGGTGATGATCCAGCGGTGATGCGATGGCGCTGATTCGGGGGTGGACAGAACCCCCAACAGTGACACGTCGATTAGTGAATTGTCCGTTTTCGGTTCTCGAGAGGGCGCCGCGGCCGTTATTTTCGAGGCTTCGCCCGCCAGGTTTGGGCCTCAGGTCGTTTTCACTAAACCACGTTTTGCTAAAGGGGGTTCTGTCCATCCCCGACTGATGGGGGTGATGGAAAGGAGGTGCGCGCAGACACCGCAGTCGTGGGACAGACTTTGAATGAAACGCCGATGTAGGGGACGTCTATCTTGTCATATGTGGAGCGCCAATGGTGTTTGAAGGAGTTCGGCACGCGCGCGTGGCGATGCGCGCGTGCGCCACGCATCGCATTATCGAAGACGCCTACGGCGAATCACCGCCGCCCCCTGCCTTCTAAAATCGCCCATGTGGCTGAGCGTTGTGGCAAGAGCTCTGCCAAGCTATCGGGCCATGTGTTCCCCCAGCCGGTGTGGAAACCCCTCGGGGAACAGTTGGGGGAGGATGGCGGGGAAGTTCAAGAGGAGGCGGAGGAGGTGGTGGAGGAGGAGGAGGAGGAGGAGGAGGAGGAGGAGGCGGAGGAGGAGGAGGAGGAGGAGGAGGACGGAGGATCTTTTGAGGTCTCTTGGGAGTTTCCTGGGAGCCTCCTGGAAACATCTTGGGGGCCTCCTTGGGCCTTTCGGGGGCCTTTGTGCGTTTCTCGGGGGCCTCTTGGGCCGCCGTCGTGGGGGCCTCGCTGGGCCGACTTTGGGGGCCCTCTCGGGGTGTCCGGAGGGCCGTTTGGGAGGCCATCTTGGTCGTCTTGGAGGCCTCGTGGGCCCTCTTGGGGCAGCGATCGGGGAGGAGGAGGAGGAGGAGGAGGAGGAGGAGGAGGAGGACAAAGGGCAAAGGCGAAGCTCAAGTTCACACGGTTTGTCGCCCGTGTACAGCCGTGGTGGAGGAGGGGGAGGGCAGTCTTGAGCGATCTTGGAGCGATCTTTGGGGCCCTCGGGCCGTCGCGGGCCGTCGGAAGGCCGAAGAGAAGCAAGTGCCAGAATTCTTCGCACACCGCAGAACAATCCACAATGTTGGTATATTGGGGCCTTCCTAGAGGCCCTCTGGGAGGCCTCCTGGGCCGCCTTGGGCCACCCTAGAGCCATCTTCGGCCGTCTTGGTGGGCTCCTGGCCCGTCGGAAGCCGTCTTAGAGGCTTCTCTGGGCCGTCTTCGGGGTCTCTTGGGGGGCTCCAGGGCCGTCTTGGAGGCCTCCTTGGGCGTCTTGGAGGCCTCTTGGGTTTCTTTGGGCCCTCGTGGGGCCGTCCTGGGAGCCTCTTGGGCAGTCCAGAGGCAATCTTGGAGGCCTCTTGGGCGCTCTGGGGGCGATCTTGGGGGCCTCTTGGGCAGTCATGGGCCGTCGGAAGACCGAAAAGGAGCAAATTCGAGAATCCATTGAACACCTCAGGAAAATCAATGATTTGGGCCTCTTCGGGCCTTCCTGGAGAACCTCCTGGAGGCCTATTGGGCTGTCTTGGAGGCCTCTTGGGGGCCTCTTCGGCCGTCTTGGTGGAAGCTTCTTGGGCCGACTTGGAGGCATCTTGGACTCTCCTGGGCCGTCGTGGAGGCCATATTAGACCGTCTTGCTCGAACTTGGGCGCCGTTTTGGGTTCCCTTTGGGGCTGTTTTGGGGCGAACCGGTTCGGATTCTCCCTTTGGGGCCGTTTTGGGGCTGTCTTGGGCCGTCTTAGGCGCCTCTTGGGCCGTCTTGGAGCCCTCTTGGACTGCCATGGGGCCTAGGTGGTGTAAGTTATGTGAGGCGCAATGTATGCAGTGCAATCTTTCGGAGTGCCTTCGTTCCATCCCTCCACCGTGCCTGAGTTGTGGGTGTGAAGCCTATTGGATGTTCGTTGGGATCTCGTGGGAGGCCTCTCGGGAGCCTCTTGGATGCAGTTTGGACGCCTCTTGGGGGCTGTTTCGGTGCCTTGTTTGCGCCTCGTGGGGGCCTTTTTTGGGCTTCCTGGGGGCTCTAGGGGGCCTCGTGGGCCCTCCTGGGCGCCTCTCCTGAGGGCCTCTTGCGGCCGAATGCTCGGATTTCGGTTCGGTATTCCCTCTCTTAGGTTCGGTTTGGGACCGTCTTGGGGCCCTCTTGGAGGCCTCCTGGGCAGTCTTGGGGCGGTCTTGGGGGCCTCCAGGGCCGTCTGGGAGCGTCGGGAAGCCGAACAGGCGAGAACGCCACAATCCTCAAACAGCCGATGGAAAAGCAATGATTTGTTGGCCTTGGGAGGCCTCTTGGAGGCCTCTCTGAGCATCTTGGATGCCTTTTGGGCCGTCTGGGGG